CTTAGTACTTGATTACTTTGAATACTTTTGACTAAATTTAGTCAAGGAACAAAGATAAATAATGTCTACTTTAATAGTGGAAAGATCGCGATTGTATTCAATCTGAGCACACAGGCGATCCTGAGAGGACTTGCAGTTCATTTGAAAAAAAAAAAAAAGCCTATTTAAGAGCTCGCATATCTGTTTTAGCGATTTGCGCACATGAATGCGCTCTCGTGTTAAAATAAAGCACTCGCCACATTTGCAGAAATGAGTTATTGCGCAATACCTTCATTCCCGCGCCGCCATTCAGAATGTATTAGAGGAGTGACAGGTCAAAGGCGAGTCGACTCGCTGTCGGAGAGCGAAACGTGTTTGTAGATCATCAAAAAGGCAGGAAATATGTCCGCGGTTTAATTACTCCGCTAGACATCTCGATAGTGAAAACATCCGAGAAGCATTATTCCAACAAAACATTTGTTTTTAAGTTGTTTTTTCTGTCTCTGCAACACAGAAAGCATTCGTCCCGCCCTTACGTTTCACGCAACTAGACAAGGTCGACTGTGATTGGCTACTTTTCATGTCAGTCAAATCACGCTTCAGAATCAATTCTTAAAGAGCCCATATTATGGGTTTTTGAAAATTCCCCTCCATGTAGTGTGTAACACAGCTCTAAGTGAAGTGAAGTATCCAGCTAAGGCTTAAATCTGTAAGAATACAGTGTTTAAAACTGTTGATTCATCTATAAAAGAGTCGATTCATAGTGCTTCAAACGAGTCGCCTTGATACCGACTCATTAGGTGTTTCGCCATGACGTACGAACAAAACAAAGTTTTTCACGTGCACGCGCAAACCCGGGAGATTTCAAACCTGAGGCCCCGCCCTCTGACGCAGTAACCCAGACAAACACACACACACACCCACAAACACACGCACACAAACATGCCGGTCGATTGAAGTGACATTGCAGATGGATATATTGAGTCTCTACCCAAAGATGAAACCTCAGCATTATAGCCAAGCAGTTGGAAACTACTGGAAACTTCTGGAAGCTACATGCTACAAAGAATACTTCATCTGCGTTTGTTAAAGGAAGGATCAGTAACTTACTGATGGACATCAGGATGGGTTTCTTCCATTTCTCAAGTGTAAGTACGTGCGGTTAAAGTTGTTGCCTCGTTGACTCTAGCTTGCAAATGTATTTAGTTGTGATTTGTTACTTGTAACCGAGTGTACTGTATCAGGTTAACTGGCTATATTCTCTTATCGCGTGCAAAGTCACGTTAAAAACGCGACGCGTGCTGCTTTGTTTATGGAGCTCCGTGGTAACGTTAGAGGTGTGCATACCCGCGGCTGTCCCCGCGCCAGATTTCTGCGGCACGGGAATAAATTTCCGAATAAATCGCCGGAGCGGTCGGTAACGGGTTTGATTTGGGACGGGAGCGGGCTGCCTGAGAAAGAGAAAGATGTGTCCGCTTGGTGCTTGTGTGTTAGTGCGCACGCGCGCGTATGAGAGAGAGAGAGAGAGAGAGAGAGAGAGAGAGAGAGAGAGAGAGAGAGAGAGAGAGAGAGAGAGAGAGAGAGAGAGAGAGAGAGAGAGAGAGAGAGAGAGAGAGAGAGAGAGAGAGAGAGCGAGCGAGAGCTTTATGCTTGGTGCTGTGTGTGTGTTTATACAGATTTTCGGTTTTGTTCTCCCCCGCTCTTTAGCGGGATCGGGCGCGGCGGGCAGAATACGGGGCGGGTTCTAAGGCTAAAACCTGGCGGGTGCGGGCGGAAGCGGGAGCGTTCTCGTCTGGAGGTGTGTGTGTGTGTGTTTGTGTGTGTGTGGCAGCTAAAATCCACGCCTACACTATCTAGCGTGTATGAACTGTGATTACTTTTTAAATTGCTGATTAGCTATTGGCCATTTCACTCTCTGACTGAAGGCAGTCGACCAATCGCGACAGACTGTCATCGGTCCAATCAGCGCAGATTAGCTTCGCGCTAAGGAGGGGTTTGGGAACAAATGAATCACTGAACGATTCATACAGGAGTCGCTGGGATAATTAGGTAAAAATAAATGCAGATTATAAGACCATGAAAGTGTTTTTTGACCTTGCATGCATATTAGACTGTTGTTGGAGACCCTTACAACCAAGATATGACCCTATTTCATGTATAATATGGGCTCTTTAAACTTCGGAAACTGATTTATAGCAGCTTATGATACAATGCACTAAAATAAACACTCCAAGCACAGCGTTGTGATCGTACGCTTCACAAAACAGCCAATGCTGATCACATCGATGTTATATTAGGCATTAAAGGATTAAAAGTGTTAATTGTTTCTTTCATTATTCAGCGGTTCCTCCGCGTACCACTAGGAGGAAGCCCGCTTACCACTAGTGGTACGCGTACCACAGTTTGAGAACCACTGATATAGGCTGATAAATTATATAAGTTCTGTTGGCTGTACCACTCTACATGCTTGCTGCCTAACTCTATTATTTTATTAAAATTTAGTTTTTGGTTAATGTTAATTTTGTTTAATGGTTAATGTTAATTTTGGTTAATGTTAATGTTAGATTTGGTTGCTTTATTCATGGATTAATTAATATTTATATTTAAGGCTAATAGAGAGGCTATCTGCCTCCAAAATTCCATATCTGTGCATCCCTATAGCCAATCGCTATATTGGGTTATGAGAAATCTGCCTTTCATCTGTTGTTCCTTGACATCTTTTGTGGAAAAAAAAATTCAAACTGCAGAGATTTTAATCCCAGAATGCAGTATGGCAAGCTAAATTAAGATGTTAAATTAACCATACAGTAACATTGGAATAAAAAACATTATAGTGATGATCAATTGTTATGATTAAATATTTTTAGTTTAATAGTTTAAAATTACATAAAAATTATAATATATTTTTTGGAAATATGACATACTATAACTACTAAGATAATCTATTGTATTGTAAAAATATATGGTTACGCATTTACTATACATTTAAAACTTATTAATGGACCACATAATTTATATAACACTAGAAATGATTAAACGTAAAACTTTAGATTGTAAATGCGTTAATGCACTATTATTATTTTATGCAAATATCTCGGGATGATTTTACATCAAACGATTACTATGACGATAATAAGAATATTACATTACTATGTATATATTTGATAAACAATACACTTAATATGAATATTCGTCATTTTAAATGATATACTTTATTATATTTATATTGTTAAGATTGCCAGTGGTGCTGTTTCCGCTGGCGATTTACTTACAGTAGTTTGTTGCAATCACCAGCAGAGTTTTCTATATGGGAGATAACTGCTGAACGAACTACAACTCCCAGAACCCCCTTGCTCTCATCAACTCCTGCAACAGCTGACAATAATCTAAACACTCACATAAAAACACAGCTGCTGCTCATCTACACTGATTACAAGACTATATATATATCTCACCTTTATTTACATGTTGCTTTTACATGAGTCTTGTCATACTGAACTGTGAAGATTATCCGGCAATTTCCTTGCCTTTCCATGTTAGACCTTTGCTTTGTTGTTTTGTTAATTTCCGTTGTCTGCTGCCTGCCTCCTGACCATTCGCCTGTGTATTCGACTACGACTCTGGGATTTCCTGTGTACATCTGTTTGCCCCTTTGTTGACCATTGCTTGACTGACCATTCTTAATAGACCCGCGTTTGGATCTGCACTTCCTTGTGAGCGTACCATTCACATTACATATACAATTATAGATGTATTATAATTAGTGTGGTTTAACAATTAATCGTGACTAATCATGTAGTCGTATTTAAAATAAAGTTCGTATTTACATAATATTACAAGTTATATTGCAAAATAAGTGTACATAAATGCACACACCACACATACATGTATATACTTTTAAACTATTTCTATATAATTTTATCTTCTGTATAAATATTTTATACATAAATTTAAATGAGCATTTTATATACATATAGATGGATGTGTGTATTTGTACATATAAAATGTATATGTAAAATATATACATTTTATTTTTTATGTTATTAGTCGTGAATAACTCTTTAGCTTAGGGATGCACCGATACCATTTTTTTGGAACTGATCCGATCTCGATACTAAAATTTTGAGTATCGACCAATACAGATCTGATCCTGATACTGTGCATTTTTTATTATTGTTTTTATGAACATAATACAGTTTTTATAGTTCTGGTGATAAACTCAAATAATATATCTTCTTTAGTAAAAATAACAGACCTACAGGCCTACTGTATATGACAGATAGCACAATCTTACTAAAACAAGACGCTTGCAGTAAACTAGGCTACATTGTTTGAGCATTCATTATGACATTGATAAGATCTGTTGTGGTCGAGCTTATGTTTCCTTTTTAACGTTAAGAATTTCTTTGTGTAATAAGCTACCACTATTGACCCTAATCGTTGATAAAATAATCAGCCTTTTAGCAAAACCTGATATTTTCCTGCAGGTTTGAAGCAGACTAGTCCATCTGAGGCCAATTTTACTTAAGGGCCATGAAACCCCCCTGTTTCAGCAGGGTTCACACTTCTACTTTGGAAAAAATCAGGAAAGTGGGCGTGTCCAGCTCTGTTTAGGGGGGAGTGCATGGTCAGTAAAAATTTGCATAAAATTGGGAATGTGGGTTTGGGGATGCGCTGATTTTCACACAGGCAAAACAAACACAGAAACATAAGAGAAAGACAGTGACTGTGTTGACATGGACATCAGTAATCAAATTATTTGTTAAATTACTGAATGGTGGACTTTAACTGCAGTTTGGCTCTTTCATTCAGGAATTTCTTTCATACCACTCGTGACAAACAAGATATTTGATTTGAGGAATTGCTGGAAGCGTGTATCTTTCATGCAATGTTTGTTACCGCACGGCGAATGAGAGAAAAACAACCCTCCGCATTTCTTTGTAACTTAGATGCACGTTTAAAGATACACTTTTAAATTAGACGTTTAATTAAAGAGATACAGACTTTCTCAATCTTCTCACCTGTGTCCATCTTGCTATCCTGAGCTGCAGGTCCTTCAGGAATGACGCTCTTGACCTGCAGGAACTCATCCGGCTCATCGCCACCGATAATGGTGAAGCCGAAGCCCATGTTGCTCTTTTGCAGCACCGTTGTGAGGAACGTCCCTTTGAGCTGCGTGGCATCACGTGTGAATGGGGGCTTTTCTGTCGAGACAAACACAAACAAACAGTCAGACGATAAAGAACAACACACTTCACAACCATCTCCACTGGATGGCCTTTTGGTGCTTTGGTCACTAGGGTAAAATAAAGTAAACCTAACACCAAGCAAACCAAGCAGGTGAAGATGGCATAAATGGGCCACAGAGAAAAGCAGTACCTCTATATATGGTGGGCAATGGCAGCGCCGATAGACCTTGACTTTGCATTTGCTGCTGCTGTTGGATCCTTCGTTTGGCCTCTAGGACGGGGTTCTCAAACTGTGTCCTTCTGTTAATGTGGCTGCGGGGCAGAGCGTGCAGATATTAAAATCTGCGCCCCGCACACGCTTTACTGAAGAGCATGAAGCGGGCGATTTGGGGTCAGATTTTCTAAGTATTTGGGGCTTGGAAGAAGAGATTTGAACAACTTACTCAACATAGTAACTGCCATAAATAGGGTCGTCGATTTTCTCCCAGCCATATGGAAGTTCTGTAAAAAGAAAATAAAAAATAAGATGGTCGGCACCTTGTTGCAAATCTTGCTGATCCCTGATGCATAAATAAATTGAGCGGATTAAATAAACTGTATACTTATATACTATATTCCCTTATGTATAACTTAGTGAAATTCAATGTGGTCTGGGTTGAATTTTTAGTTTCCTTGCATAAATAAGTTTAAATCAAATGAAACCAAATTATATAAATTGTAAGGGTATGGAAATTTTTTATCACGATTTTTAATATTACCACAGTTTGGTTCAAAATGACCTAAATATTTTTAAAATAAATGTCACACACACTTAAAGAAAATAAAAATTTACTCATCCTTTACTAATTTCTAAAGTTAAAAATCTTGGGAGTTTCTTTTAAAGTTGAACACAAACGAAGATAGTTTGAAGAATGCTGAAAACCTGTAACCACTTGAAGGTGAGTAAACAGTAAATTTGTTTTGCATCTGAAAATGAAATAAAAAGCAAACAAAATGTGGAGCTTTAAGCGATATAGTGACTAACAACATAAAAAAGTTCTGCACTGTTTGGATTTGTTCACTTATGTTTGTATTATTTCATGTACTGTGTTTTTTGTGTGTGTTGTTGTAGGAACTGTTGATTTTTTTTTTTTAATTTAAGGTATTTTTTTGTTGAACCTACACTTGGAAACTACCCCACGGGGGTGCACGTTTACCTTATTTTTCACCAAGCTGCATACAAAGCTGTGAAAATAACTGTGATTTTACTAAGTGATATTGCGGATAGTACTCTATGAAGCACATTCTTTAAATGAAAGGAATATAACATACTTGAACTGTATATTTACATATATATTTATGAACTTTCTGTATAAACATGCATTTACATAACAGCTAATGGCAATTTTACAGGATTTGTAGCGAGTTTTAAAAATCACAATAATCATTCATGGTTTTAAGAATGAAAATCTGAAACTGTAATACTGACTGTCAGAAAATGTATAGTGGTTTGGTTTATCTGAAAAAAAAGCTTACCGTGACAAAAATATAGTCTATAATCAGAAGTTTATCAATATATTTTTTATTTTGAATATGTAAAACTGCTTTAATGTGAAGTGCTTTAATATTAATATTGAAAACTTACGTTTAAAATACAATACATGTTTATTAAATTATTAACTGTTATTGTTATTTTTTAAGTATGATAACACATTCACATATGTGTGTATACATGTGCAATGTACATACTTTTATACGGTTAAATGTTCCACAATGTAATTCAAAAGCATAAATAAATGGGGAACATTTTTAAATAAAAACATGAATCACAATATATGAAAAATGGCTAATTTACATTTTTTGTATACTACACATTATTACAGTCATCAAATATGTACATATACATATATGTATGCATATATTTGCAATGCATATATAAATACGCGTTATTGAAAAATAACAATACTTGATGTTTGAATAATCTTGTGCTAAACTTTATATTGTATACACAAATGTAAGTGTGCGTGTGTGTATGTATGTATGCATATATATATATATATATATATATATATATATATATATATATATATATATATATATATATATATATATATATATATAAATAAAAAAAAAATTTTCTACTGGAGAAAGACTTATTGTTTTATTTCGGCTAGGATGAAAGCAGTTTTTAAGATTTTAAACACCATTTTAAGGTCAATGTTATTAGACCCTTTGTGCTATATATATATTTTCAATAGTCTACAGAACAAACTATCGTTATACAATAACTTGCCTAATTACCCTAACCTGCCTAGTTGACCTAATTAACCTAGTTAAGCCTCAAAATATCACTTAAATCTGAATGCTAGTATCTAGTAAAAAAAAAATCTAGAAAATTATCTAGTCAAAAATGATGTGCTTTACTTCATTAGATTTATTAATTAATGTCAAATCAGTTATTTGTATGATCATATCTTAGTGTGCAGAACACTCTTTGATTTCAATAATAATCTGCTCATAATATTAATTGATTTTAAAAAGTATCATCCTTCTATTTAAAATGCTTGGCATTAGCACTGTTTATGAAAAAATAACAAAGTTGACCCTTGCTTTCCTTCATATTGCATGATTTAATCAGCCTTCGAGTGAATAATTTTCATAATCCAATATTTAGAAATAATTACAAAAACACTGAAAGGAGAATATGCAACCTTAAGGAGCAAAAAATAAATAAATAAATAAAAATAAGCCATTTAATGCATGGCACGTCATGAAAACATTCCTCACAGTTTTCATTATAGCAGAGCCCAGTCCAGTAAATCAATAACCCCAGGGATGCCTGCGGTGTATGATAATACTTGCAGGCAAATCAGTCTAGACGTCTTCTAAAAACACACATTCCCGGCACACGCCAGAATTTCAATTCGGCACCCCGAAACAATCCAGCCGGCCGCTCAAGCTGGCAGTCGGTGTGTAAAACAAAGCTTAATTAGGACACACAGCGGTAAGTGAAGGGAGATCTGGCAGCCCGAAGGTTAGTGCCAACATACTTTCATGCCATTCAATCCGCCTGAGATTCACAAAACAAATGAAAACGCTGACAAAATGACAACAAAGGGTCGTCATCAAATGCAGAACTCGAGATGCTGTTTCCTGTTGCTTTTGTTTTGAAGCCAAATTTGATATTATTGAAACATCAGGAAGAAATGAGACACGGGTGCAAACTCGCACAGTAATTATCAAAAACATCACCGGTTAAATGTGCCGGCATTCCTCACAAACACGTTAAAATACGCAGATACATCGTGAATTTATTGTGGGAGACTGGAGCGCAGTAAACATGCAAATCAAGCTCACATAAACAAAAGGCCAACATAACTCATATCTTTTCAGACAGCCCTTCTACAGTAATTAACTTCACAGATGGTGTTTTTTTCCAAGTCACTCAATCAGAGCCGGGTTATGGAAACACACTCTAATTTCCTCTATTATTTCTTGCTATGGACATTATTTGTACACTTTTTTTCATGTGTGTGATATGATTTTCAGATCTCTGCTTTAACTAGGTGTAGTTTTCTTTGCTTTCTTTAAATTTTACAGCAAGATGACAATGTCATTTATACTTAATAAACATTATATCATTATAATAGTCATAGTACAGCCTATCAAACACACAGAACTACCAGTGTTTCTCAACCACGTTCTCGGAGGATCATCAGCTCTGCACATTTTCCATGTCTCTCTAACCAAACACACCTGATTCAGATCATCAGGCTCATTAGAAGAGACTGAAAGGCCTGTATAGGGTGTGACAGACTAAGGAGACATCCAAAACATGCAGCGCTGGAGGTCCTCAAGGAACGTGGTTGAGAAACACTGAACTAAACAATGCCCTGGCAACAAACCTGTCCTATAAAACACACAGAATATTATACCGTTCACCTGAAATGCCCTTACAACCATTATAGATCAGCCTAGCAACTACTCAGAACACGCAAGCAATCAAGAAACAATGCCCTACCTCGCAGAATAGAACACACACAACGTAGAATAGATTAACCATACAGAATACACTAGAAAAGTCTTGTAACACCTTAGCAACTAAATAACATTCGATAACAACTTAGTAACCACCAAAAAATTATTTAGCAGCTTGCTAGAAACTACTTTGAACACCTACAGCATCCTGTAGTAGCACTGTTCTTTAAAACCACTCTGAACACCTACAGTAGCAACAACTTACACCACAGAAACCGCTAAGCAATAGACTGATTTTACGCGGCCGCCATTTTTTAAAGCGAAATCGAGGCTACGATTTGAAGAAACCCGGAAGTATCGTTGGGAGTTACATAGAAACGTTGTGCACTTGGCTGTATCAGCGAAGATAAAGTGACACAAATTTATCATGTTACCGCCTTCCGAGTGACCCGAAGGTCCGTTCTGAATGAATGGTGAAAATAAAAAGAGATATCAGAGCTCATTTTCAGCTAAGTTAAGGGAAATGGCACTACTTAGCTAATGTTTTCTTTCCCAAACACACATTTTAGATGCCATTTATCAAGCTTGAGTTAATAAACTGATTTCTTTTACTATATTAGACTTGTCATGATACTGACTTAAAAGAAAAAACGTGATTTGCCATTGTGTTCACGTGCTCGACAGAAATGCTTGTGATTGGCTGAGAAGGTCATCAGTTCACCCTCTGCTATCCGGTCTCCATGTATCTGTGTTTGCACTGGGTAAAGAGCGGTAAACTGAGTGCAAACACAGATACATGGAGACTGGAGCGCGAAGCAGCTGTGAAGATCAGTCGAGTCCTCTGCGCTCAGCGGCGCTTCAATGTTAGTGGGAAATAGACGGTTTTAAAACTTCTCTACATTTGACAACACTATTAAAGACAATACAAAGGTGTGTTGCTGAGGGCTGCAGTGTTTTATCACTCACCGAGTTACATAGGCTGAAGCAGGAAAGCATTCCCACTGTGTTTAACTGGTGCCATGAACTGAAGCCTAGCAGGACACTTAAGCGTATTACTCTTACAGATGTTGTCTGATCCTAAATTGCTTTTAATTGTTTAAATTAAACTTACTGAATGATATTAAAGTGATGGTTATACCATTTCTGCATTTTGAAATCATGGCAACAGCTCGAGGTTTATAGTCCACAGCACGTTACCGCAATATTTACAGAGCTGGTCCAATACTTCCAGGTTTCTTCCCACCGCAACCTCGATTTGGTTCTTTAAAATGGTGGCCTAGTGAAATAAGCCTATGAGTTAGCATTCAGTCACCAATGTGACTAACCCAAACACCAAAGTGACCAGCAAAAAAAAATCTTACTCCGAATACACTAAAAACAACTAAAAAGTGCTTTAAGAGCTGCCTAGAAGCCATCCAGAACTCCTTATTAATTAAAAAACTATGCCCTAGCAATAGTTCAAAATTCCCTACAAACCTCACTTTAACCACTGAGTAACTTCATAGCAAATTCCTAAAAATGTTCAAGAAACCTTGTAGAATAGA